TATTAGCCGACTTTAAAAAAATGTTTTTCGATCTTTGTATCAATAATATTAACAAACAAGTGGAATATTGTAATTAAGTTTTCTTAAATATCAGGATGTTTGACCACCATGACATTCAATTATTTTTTTGTGAAATTACTCCACTAGTTTGTTATAATTATTAATACAAAGATCGAACACTTAAGTGGGTGATAGACGTACGAGGTTAAAAATCGCGGTTTTAAAGTTGGCGTTGACGTTTCCCACAAATGGCGTTACGACAAAAAAGAAGATCTTTGTTTAATAATTATAACAAACAAGTGCAATATTTTCATAAAAAATATATTAAAATCATGATAATAAAACATCATGATATTCAATGAATACGTATTATAAAATAATAGATAGCCTATGTACCTATAGCCCCACACAATGGGAGCGCGCCCAATCAGCATTGGGACGTGATGACACGACATTAAATTGCCTTGCAGATGTGTGCAGGTTTTCTTAGGATATTTAACTTCACCGAAAAGCTCATCATAGTAAAAAATTTCAAATTAAATTTTTTAATTCAATCCAATTAAAATGTATTTATTCATCGAGTTCTTAGGTTTTCGCGATTGTTACACATAGGAATTGAAACAATTTTTCCGGATTTAAATGGCGTATATTTGTTTTTTCAAACAAACCAACGTTTCGGGCCCTTTACAGGTCCCTTGGTCACGGTTGACTGACCATGAAAAAACAAATATACGCGATTTAAATCCGGACAAATAGTTTCATTTCCTATGTATTTATTTGTCAACATTGGTTACAGTAGATACATTGAAATACATGGTGATAAATAAATTTATGGTACGCCTTAAGGCATACGAACTAAATAAATAAATGACTACATAAGAATCACATACAGTTTAAAAAGTTCTTCTTATTCCTGAAATCACAATATTAATTACGTCATCATTATACTAACAAATATTTTGAATCTATAAAGTAAAATTTAAAGAGAGATAAACTTCGCACGTAAATCTGAAAAACTCAAAGGTGCAACACGCCTTCTACTTGAGTCAAACCGTTTGGCTTACTAGGTAAATAAATAATATTATAAAATGAATATGATATTAAAATGTATATAGAAAATATGATATAAAAAAGACTACCACACTAATTGAATCTCAGACTAGGATATTCCCTATTCTATGAGTACTAGAAGAAGGAAATTAATAGACATAAGACCAAAACCGGAAATCGATCCCGGGACATCGGTAGAGCAATTTTTGTCGAAGAAATAGTAAGTAAACTTAGGTTCTTAGGTTTTCGCGATTGTTACACATTAAAAATGAAACTATTTTTTCGGATCTACAGCGTGTATATTTGTACTATTTTCGATTATAGTTAATATCTCATTCCCTTGAGAGTAGTGGTTAAACAAAAAAAAAATGGTTTTTTTTTATGATACCTAGTGACGAGACAAACAAGTCGTGGGTCTGGTAGTAAGCGACACGTTCGTCCATAACAGCTGTTGTGCCACTCAGAGCTTTAAACCGCAAAGGTCGGAGGGGCACTGCCACTGTGCCCGTCTTTCTGGGACATAAGTTGACAAGTCCCATGTGCCTGTAATTTCACCAAAAAATATATGATAAAATAAATACGATTTAAAAATGTGACAGACAGCCACACCTATTCTACGACTACTAGAGAAACGGAATTCAATCCGGGGCTCTACTCCGAACGTCGCCCTGCGAGAGTCTGCGAGACTGCGAGCTGTTGGGCCACCGACATCATTATAACAAATTTTCAAACAAACCAACGTTTAGGGCTTTTTACGGGTCCCATGGTCACCAACCAACCATTTGTCATCAACCATTTATGCCTAATATTAATGCAAACCACCCTATATTTTTATTTATTATGATTTTAAATTTATCAAAGAATATTCGTAAATTGGAATATTACCTACTTCATACGTTTTGCAAAGTATTTTACTTTAATAATGTGAATTTTGGACGAACTCTTTCACAAGTAGCTCTACTGCTACTAAATTAAAACATGAAAAAACATATAATGCGACTTAGATCCAAAAAAGGCAGTATTATTTCCAAATTGTAATATTATTATTTTTACTGGCTGGTTCCGAAATGCGTTGCAATGGCACTGAAAAAAAAACTTGTTTATCTTTTAGCCTTACAAAAGATGGCCTTAAAGGAGAGGGCTCCTTGACCCTTTCCCAGCGGTGGGATCTACATTACACTTCAGTAAGTTTTGCGAGCGTGTACACAACTCACGAAAGGATAAACCTTCCACGACCGGATAAGTAATAATAAAATGCATACGGAACAAGCAATTCATTTTTTTGTTGTATTAGATAGTTTATATACATATGGTAGTTTAGTTTATTCTAATTTCTATTAATCATTAATAATAAATTAAACTTAATAAAAATTCATTCAATAAAATAATTTGTAAAACTTAATGTAGCGTAAATTGGAATGTTTTCTTTGTAAAATTAAAAATAAGGTATTTAATTAATAACTATTGTAACTATAGTGAAAAAATAGAGTGGTTTGCATTAATATTAGACATAACTGGTTGAAGACTGTACCACCTCAGTCAACCGTGACCATGGGACCTGTAAAGGGCCCGAAACGTCGGTTTGTTTGAAAAAACAAATATACGCGATTTAAATCCGGAAAAATAGTTTCATTTCCTATGTGTAACAATCGCGAAAACCTAAGAACTCGATATATTAGATAGATTAGTGATCATTGGATTTTTAACCGACTTCGATAAGGAGGGTGTTCTCAATTCGACAATTTTTTTAAATTTATTTTGTGTGTGTATGTGTGTGTGTTTTTGTATTACGCGATTTCTCCGATATTTGTAAACTGTTTTACAACCGATTACCGATTTGGCCAAATGCAGCCCAAAACCCAAAGAGGGGGGTAGTCTTTGCTCAGCACTGGGACATAATAGTTTCATTTGTTTTTTTTACCACTGGCAACTACTGGGATATCTTCAATTCCATTTGTCGCCAGCGGCAACAACAGATCTTTTTATTCTTTTTGTTACCGCCATCTATTTCTGGTTATATACTCGATGCCACCAGGTAACATATGAGTTTTTTCCCATTTGTCGTTAGTGGAAATCACCACTGCAGCAACAACTGAGGTATTTTATGCCGTTTGTTTCCATCTGGTAACATATGGGATTTTTTTCCCATTTGTCGCCAGTGGGAACAAAGCCAGTGGTGACAACTGGGAATAAGCCCACTTGCCTTGCCGACAGCCACTGGCGACGGTCGACCACTATGCATTATTTATATAAACCAATCTATGAATAATTAAGACGAAGCATACCAGCTGTATAGCAATACAGTCCACCTTTTATTTCACGTACCATTAGGACCCTAACAATTATAACAAAGTAATGAAGTATTGTCACAAAAAATAGATGAATATTATAATAGTATAAAACATCGTCATATTTAAAAAAATAAAAAGTTTATTTTGCATTCAATGTTACATACAATAGAGTAGTTTTGGTCTGACTAATGAATTACGTCGCTCATGAAGAATGACCAATCTCCTAACTGACACTTAACCCCCTGGGTTATGTCATGTGAATATTTACTCAGAAGAAAGCCTGTGTCATACCTTATATTAATACCCCAAGCACGCTATGTCATAATGCTACGTCAAGACAGTTACGAAATTGGACACAAAGTAATGTGTACTGCTATTCGTCGCATTAATATCAAATAACATTATCTACACTCACGGACATATTTAGAGGAACGCTAAAAAAGATTGAATTATGATAACCATAATGATAATGTAATAACGCATACTCTCACAGCCCCGCACTAGGGAAACCCTTAATATTTTATTCCTTTATTATAATTTATTAATGCGCAGACAGAAACGCTTACAAAAAAATCCTTCGATCCGGCCGGATTCGAACCGACGTCTTCTAATAAACTGTGCCAGACGCTATGCCAACTATGCCACGGAACGAACCAACGGACCTCACGAATTTTTTTATGTGTTTGTTTTGTCGGATTTTTCTTGTTTGCATTAATAGTTACTCAGAAGCAGGTTTTTCACTTTGTTTTATCACCTAATTTTTTAATTAAAGCAAGGTATAAACAACAATGTTCATGCCAGATTATGTCACATCCATGCTTTAATTTAATAGTATATAACTCACTCTTGTTACATTTGCATATAATTTAATATTACTTAGGATTTTACCAAAGTGACTGTTATAAGCTTTTTTGACGCCGGCCTGCTGTGTGTGACGCAGTCTGACAGGCGGTGGGTTAAGCCTCTTTTGTTTTAGCAAATTATGTCACTCGTTCTGAACGCCACTTTTTTATATCAAGTGACGACAAGTCGTACGCCTGATGGTAAACAACACGCCTAATAACAGTTGCAATGCCACTCATAGCTCTAATTCACAAAGATTTCAGAGGCACTGCCACTACGCCCGTCCCTCTGAGACATAACTTGACAAGTCCCATATGCCTGTAATTTCACCAGCACCCTTATCCTTTAAAACCGCAATGCAATATTTTCACATTACTGCTTGACGGTAGAAATAGGTAAGTGGCAGTACTTTCCTGGACGCTCTATCACAATGAGCTATACTGCTACTAAACTACAGGAGCTTTTAAAGCATTTGGAATTGTACAGATGTATTGATAATTTCGTAATTCATTGTTTTGCCTATATTTTTTTTGTTCTGTTTTTTTTGTTCTATGTTTTTTTTGTTCTATGTTTTTTTATTTGTAAGAACTTTTTAGTTATTTAGCTGACTTTCCTTGTGCAGTTTTTTACCTTATTTGTAAAACTAGTTAAGGTTGTTGGCCTTATTGCCAAAACAAATTAAAAAAATCTTAAGCGCGGAGGGAAAATCTTGATATCGTTTTAGAAGTAACTTAAAACAAATCAATGCCATCTATCGGAATCTTGCCGAACTAACACTCCGCTACAATAATATTATAATGTTGTCATTTGTTTCAGATTTGCCAAAATGCATCACCAAAGAAGTCGGACTCACATCATCTGTTCACTGGCGTTAGGTCTTATTGTATTTAGTAAGTAACTTAAGTTAGTTAATACAAGTAATTTAAGTACATTCATATCGTCACTAAACAGCCAAAACCAACTATATCGCCAAAATCTCTGCCTTAGGAAACTTCTTTCTTATATTTTTACAATAGCTACACATTGAAAATGAAACTAATTTTTGGAATAAAAAACAATTGTAATGAAAAACAACTTTTCGGGTTTAGGTTTTTTACATATCCCATGGTCACGGCAAATTGAAATGTTATCTAATACCAATGCAAACCACTGCATTTTCACTATAGTTACAAAGTTTTTAATTTAAATACCTTGTCTTTAATTTACCAAAGAACATTTGAAATTACGCTACATACGTTTTCCGAAAAGCTTCTTTACATTGCAGTTCAAAGGCCTCCTCCAATCTTTTGTCTATCTCCTATTCTTCTTTTTCTCTATGATATTTACATATATATATGTATATATATATTCATAAAACAAATAAATGTTTCTTGTAACAATGCCACATCAACATAATCATAACTTATTCAGAAGAGAGGCTTAAAGATTCTACACAATTAAATTTTATACAGTAAAATTATTATAGGACGAACTTTAAAAAAAAAATATTATTACAGAATCGCTTACAGAATCACTTGCTATTATTAAAAAAAAACAAAAACTGAGGCCGTGGGTTTAAATCCGGGCACCTCTTAGTTTCTTGGAATTTATGTGAGAAATTTAATTTAAAATTTACCATGAGCTTTTCGCTGAAGGAAAACATCGTAATGAAACCACATAACACGTCGATGAAGGTTTACAACCCTCGGAAAACGAGTAAAGTCCCCAACCCGCATTGGACCAGCATGACAGACTATTACCTAAACCCTTGCCTGAAAGGAGACCCGTGCCCAGCAGCGGGACGTAAAATATAAATGGGTTGATGATGATATTTTTGTCATGTAGTCGGATTTCTGCAACTTTCGTGTGATAAAAGCATTTTTGATCACAGTTGCTTTATTATACCGAGGGTTGACCAACTACTAAGGCTTATTTCTAAACAGAAACATTTTCAACGCTATCTATCTACCTAACAACAGGACAAATACAAGATAACCAATTTATACTACGTTTAAACAACGCAAATACAGTTAACTTTTAGTTTTATGTTCTTACGCATACGGCATAATAAAACACACAGAACTATTCTTATAAGTAATTTAATTCAAGACTAAGGTTCACCTACATATATATGAGAACATAATAAACGTCGAATGTGCAGATCATCCGGATTTGGTACAACGCCTGAACCATTCGTGTGGATTGCAAAATCTATTTACGAGTGGACGTGACAATCTTGGTAGTTGAGATTTTATTTGAAAATCGACCTTGAAATAGAACACGTCTGGCATTTAGAGCAGCCAGCAGCTCAGTTTATTTACTATATTAATTCATTGATATTTTATTGAATACCATGATTTTACATATTTTTTGTGAAAGTACTCCACTAGTTCGTAATTATTATTGATATACAGATCCATTGTAAAGAATTTAGTGATGCTGAAGGAGTAACTTCATTAATTTCTCACACGTGCGCTGGCGGCGAAAAAACAAGCCGTGTAAAAAACCCAATACCAAAATTTATAACAAACACATAAAGAAATTCGTAAGTTCTGCTGACTCGATCTTCTGTACCTTTGTTTGGTACCGTTTTTAGGTGTCGGGAAATAAGCGTGCCTTAGAGCTCCGCCACCAATGAGGAGATTTGGTAGTCGACATATCGAGGACTTAGCGGATGCAACCGTTAGTTGTGCAGAGCGTAACGAGAAGTGAGCGTGCCTACAACTCCGGTATCTACCTGGAAAATAGGGAAGGTACGTGCAACCGGGGCAGCTCACCCAAGGCAGTAGTCTTTTTGGGAACCGGATGAAGTCCGTGCAAACGGGCTGATCTGGGGTTAAAACTTGAATGAAATGGTCCCTGTGGGGGCTTACTCGCATGGGTTATAGTGCACTTCTCGTGTACCCTAAGAGCCTGTAGGGAGGGTCACTATAATCAAAACGAATGTAGAAAGATATGGGACTGTATCTGTTTGTCAAGAGCAGTGGCCCCGGCATGTCACGAATCGAATCCAGTCATTCATTCTTTTTCAAATACGTACGTCCTAAAGTTAACAATAAATATACTTTATAAAGAATAATAAATTTTCTTATTATCGACCGTCTCCAATTACTTTATTTCATAAATTAGTAAATGTATCCAAATTTGAACTTTTTATTTTTTCTTAAAGTGACGGGACGAATAAATCGTGCGCCTGGCGGTAAGCGATACGCCTGTCCATAACAGTTGCTGTGCCGCTCAGAGCACATAGTCTCAAAGATCTGAGGGGCACTGCCGCTACGCCCGTCATCCTGAGAAACAAGTTAACAAGTGCATATAATTTCTATAGCACCTTTACCCTTCAAAACCGGAGCGCAATAATGCTCACATTACTGCTTGGTGGTAGAAATAGTTAAGGTGGCAGTACTTCACTGGCCGAAAGCCGAAACCTTTTACGACAATTTCACCAGCACCCTTACCCTTCAAAACCAAAACGAAGTGCTGCTTAGCAGCAGAAATAGATAAGATGGCAGTACTTCTTAGACGAACTCTTTCACAAGGAGCTCTATTGGTGCTATTTGAAGGTACATTTCGTACTATAACGGAGGAAAGCCATGTTCCGTCAACCAAAATTGTACTTTGCTATTTTGACATCTCTGTGCTGCTAAGTTAAATAAATATAAAGTTGTAACTCGGCTTTGTTGAAACTCGGCGGCTTTAATAGATGACGAACCTTAATGTCTTAAGACGCTCCTGACAATTTAGTTATATTTTTTCGTAATTAAACAATTTTTTTTTTCATTGTTAAACAATCTATAACAAAATAACCGAAACAAAGAAGATATGTGATTATCCCATAAAGTTATAAAAATACTACTTAGCATCGTGGACCACGCAAGGTACACAGTCAGTCAAACTTCTTTGTTGAAAATTGTACCTTGTCCTTTACGCAGTGTTTAAAGTAAATATCAAAGTTTGCTTGTATAAATAACTCTTTGATTATACAAACATCAAATCATTAAAAAGATAAAGACATAACCTTGATTGGACTGATTATTACGAAATATGACTACGTTGAACCTTAACACTTGAACTATCATGTTCATTAAGACAAGAACAAAAGCCATAATGCGTGTTGCAGCCTTTGCGAAATATCTACAGTTTAGTTCACAAAATTATATTTATTTACAACACAACAAAAACAACTTATTTTGAAATTTGAAAACAATTACTTAATTTGAAAACAACTTAAACATGGTAAATTTTTTTGTTTTTGGTTTAGGAGTTACCCATAAAAATGAATAACTTTGATTTTTTTTAGCGCTGATCGACTCACCTTTATGTAAGGATAATTCCATTGTATTAGAAGAAAACATTTGAGACAGCTGAAGTTGGTAAAATGTTATAAAATGTTTTTTATACAAAATGAATAAAATTGACAATTTTTTTTTTCATGGTGATGGACTTAGTTTCATGCAAGGATCATTTTATTGTATAGAAAGTAAAATTCGGGACTGCAGTATGTGGTCAAATTTAATAAAATGTTATTCATACAAAATTATTAAAATTGACTAACTTTTTTCATGCTGATAGACTCAGTTTCATGCCAAAATCATTTTACTGTATTGAAAGAAAAAATCGGTCAGTAGAAGTTGGTCTAGGTAAGAATCCTGTTATTAGGAAACATAAAAATAGCTTCTACAATAAATTTACAAAATATACACAAAAATGAGGTGCCTTACATTTAATTCTGGAAACATTAATTAATTATTTACATTATCGTAAACAGTTTTAATAAATGGAATGTTTCACGGAATTTATTCTCTCTTGTAGTATTACAAGGTACCAAGACTTGTCAGTCGTTGTATAAAGTTGGAGATGAATGGTACGATTAGTTGAGCAACTCGGTACAACCTTGATTAGTGGTACTACGTTTGGATACAGGGTCGAAGTTAGGCGTAGAGATAAGTCAGTCCTCCGACGTCCGATGTGACAGTTTGTCACTTGTGTTATCTGCCAAATTATGTCTTCGCTCACTGATGTCACTTCCCTAAGTTAGCGAACAACTTTGAATGATGAAATAACACTTACCTTTGATTGCTTTTCAAACGCCTACGGGGTTTTCGATTATAATTAATATCTCATTCTTTTGATTCAGATCTTTGTACAAGATTAAATCAAGTGTAAAGGAAGTAGAGCCTGTGCAGAACTATAAGAGGTGCATGTGATGAGTTTAGGTAGAAACGATATCGACAATAAAGTGACAATCTTGTAAGACAACCTCTGTATCGAAACGGTATGCTGTGCGCGCGCTATTTGAGGAATTCCTGGGTGCAATTCTCTAACGAACTCTACCATAGGGAAATTCCTAGTTTGGGATTAGGTGACATTGGTATAGTAATCTGGCTCATTACTCGTATTATTATTATCATATACCAATAAGTTTTGAAAAACTGAAAAATACATCTCTTTGGTTTAAATACTTTTTTGTAGCAGTAGAGCTCCTTGTGAAAGAGTTCGTCCAGGAAAGTACAGGGCAGTATTGCTTGTAATAAGTTGTAATTGCTATATGTAAGCATTACTGCGTTCCGGTTTCGAAGGGTAAGGGTGCTGGCAAAATTATGGGACTTGTCAACTTATGTCTCAGGGTGTCGGGTGCTGTGGCAGTGCCCCTCAGATCTTTGTGATTTAAAACTCTGAGTGGCACAGGAATTGTTTGGGACAGGCGTGTCGCTTACTACCAGGCACACGATTTGTTCGCCCCGTCACTTAGTATTTGATCAATATATTACGTGCCACTGCCGGGCAAAGGTCTTAGTATTATAAAAAAACTTTTGAAATGAAGCATTTTTATATTGTGTTTTATAATTATTAAGGCCGTACCGTGCCGTATACTGTCTTGGTAGCCTAATGGTTTGACCAACTGCCTCAC